CCATTCATATATATTCCTTTTTATTGTCCGCCTTTATCGGTTGAATATTTTTCTATACTTGGTTACATTAAATGTCATCAGTTCTATTGATGATCAATTGATGGGAGTTTTATTGTGATGAGCTTTTCATTAGTAATAAGGGTTTGTATGTCGTATAGACCAAAGGTAGGCCCTCCATTGTGCCAAAACTACAAGTCCTATAAGGCAGGGGTAGCAAACCTCCGGCCCTCTAGCTGTGGTGAAACTACAAATCCCATGATGCATCTCTCTTCGGGAGTCATGTCTGTGATTGTGAGAATCTTGCAATGCCTCATGGGATTTGTGGATCCACCACAGCTGGAGGGCCGGAGGTTTGCTACCCCTGCCATAAGGCGTTGTAAGACTCTGACAGCCACAGGCATGACACCCGGAGGCAGATGCATGATGGGATTTGTGGTGTATTCACAGCTGAAGGGACAAAGTTTTCCTATCTCTGGTATAGACCATCGTTCAGGACTCGAGACCTGTCCACATCCGGTTTTATCTCCCTGGAGCGGCGCTGATGCTGTTTGATGCATGACTGCGACCAGAAGCATTTATAGTTTTGGACGGAGTGGAGAAAAGTTAAACATTTCTGTCTGTGACTCTATTGGGAAGTTTTTCTCTTACAGGAACATGGGCGACCAAGGCCCATTGATAGACATGGGGAGGGAAGGCTGGCCCGTGTAGTCCGATCCAATAGCTGTTGTAGATCAAAGTGCTGAAAAGTGAATGTTGGTTCTGATAGAAAGGTGTCTGAACACGCAGAGCATCGCATGTTTGTTGTGTATGGGGCTGTGTAGCCGCAGACCGGTCAGGGTGCCCATAATGACCCGTGTCCACCGCCAAATGTGCCTACAACGGGCACATGAGCTTCAGAACTGGACCACGGAGCAATGGAAGAAGGTGGCCTGGTCTGATGAATCATGTAGATGGCCGGGTGTGTCACGTACCTGGGGAAGAGATGGCACCAGGATGCATTATGGGAAGAAGGCAAGCCGGTGGAGGCAGTGTGATGCTTTGTGCAATGTTCTGCTGGGAAACCTCGGGTCCTGCCATTCATGTGGATGTCACTCTGACACGGACCACCGACCTAAACATTGTTACTGGCCAAGTACCCCCCTTCATGGAAACGGTATTCCCTGATGGCAGTGGCCTCTTTCAGCAGGATAATGTTCCCTGCCACACTGCAAGAATGGTTTGAGGAATGAGTTCAGGATGTTGACCTTCAGAGGTCTAGTGGAGTCCATACTGCGATGGGTCAGGGCTATACTCAATATTAGGTGGGTAGTCATAATGTTGTGGGTGGGTGTGTGTGTGGATTCCCTATAATATAACATTCAAATATTAGGGGGCGGCCAGCTGTATGGGATTCACAGTCATTATGACCCTGTGAAAGTAAGGAACAAAATGGCTGATTAGACATCTCAGGTCAAAGGGCAAGTTATCTTGAGAAGCCGCCCCTCCCCCCCCTCAGATATACCTTCACCACGCTATTCACCAGTCACATCAACGGGATGGATCCAGGATTTTTGGGTATCGTACTGCGTGTATTCTTCTACCCACCTCACCATCCCAGTGGAATAGCCATCCATGAACGCTGTTACATGGGGGAGGAGAGGCAGTCCTTATTGTCACATGGTAAAGGAGAGGCGGTCCTTACTGTCACATGGTAAAGGAGAGGCCCCCCTTACTGTCACATGGTAAAGGAGAGGCCCCCCTTACTGTCACATGGGGAGGAGAGGCCGTCCTTACTGTCACATGGGGAGGAGAGGCCGTCCTTACTGTCACATGGGAAAGGAGAGGCGGTCCTTACTGTCACATGGGGGAGGAGAGGCGGTGTAAGCTCTGATATTGACATGAAGCTCAAACGTGGATAAGACTCGGTGCTCTGACAGATGAACCGGATTGGCGGGAAGGGCAGCATAAGTGAGTGGGGGGATGGGCCACCAAAGGAACCCATCACTACCCAGATTGGTCACATTGATACAAATGAAGATCACCGGCACTCGATGAATACTTTATAAATTCTTGCTTGTATTTATTTGAAGAGGTGACACCCTGATGAAGGGACCCCCGGGTGGTCCCGAAACGTTGATTTTTTTTTCCCGTGGCGTAACTCTTCAAATAAATACAAACACGAATTTACAAGTATTCATCGAGTGCCGGTGATCTTCATTTGTATCAAGACTTTGTATTGCACGGCGCCATCCATAATCATCGCTGCGAGCGCCACCATTTACTGTATGGTCGCTGTACGCGGTAAGGATTGCGGGGGATACATCTGGAATGACATTGACAGACAGGGGAGCAGATTCCGACATTGTTACTCGTTTCTGAACTTCAAAGTGTATCCCTCGTAGAGAGAAGACGAGAGGCGGGATCAACAAATGTCAAACTTCACCTTCCTCCCGGAACCTTCTCCTCGGCTCACGTCGGGGAGAACGCAATTAAGGAAGTTTTCAGACGCTCCGTCGTCTCTTTCCGCGACAAGTTAAAGAAAAAAAAAAGACGATGGAGCGTAATAAAATCGCAGGTGTCGCCCTAATCCTCGCTGATTCCCCGTCTCCCCGATGAATTTCTCCTTTTGATCAGCAGACTTTTCCCCTCTCCGCCGGAGCGTTTGATGTGCGAACGAGCGGTAATTAGCAGCTAATTTCCATTCGTCTCTCTGACGCCGGGTGATTAGGACGGAGTAGAAAGGGACTCTGGAAAGGGGGAAGTAGATCAGAGACGCTCCGACTCCCACTCCTCGCTCTAACTAGGGCAGATATTTGATTCTAACGCATGCGGCGGAGGCTTAACCCGTTCACCTGCTCTCTGTGCTGCGCCACAAACCTTTACAACTGCGGCCGCGGCGGCGTCGTCTTCGTCGATGCTGAACGTCGGAACAAAGCGGCGTTGTGTCTTGCTCCACCCGGGCAGCTGTTTTTATAGTGCCGGGTAGATACTAGGGGTGCACCAATACCGAGTATTTGGGTGAGTACTCGTCCAAATGCTCCTATGTCGGCACTTCCGGCCAGAGGAAAGGCAACATGGAGCCAGCTTCCAGTGTGATCAGGTAGCTGGGCCTCACTGATTGGCCAGGCAGCTGGCTCCATGCTGACTGGCTGGGAAGTCAGTTTCCCGGCCAAGCACAATGAAGCTGGCTCCATGCCAGCGGAAGCATCGGGATCGACGAGTACCGAAAGCAAAGTATCGGTACTTGTACTCGATACGGAAAAGTCTCGGCAGGCGGCACCTTCTCTTTAAAGTGCCGATAAACCCCAAGAAACAAGTGCCCGTTATTTCTACGATGTTTCAGTATGAGTATAATGCCCATTGATACTGCCAGCAGGGCCGGGACAAGGGGGTAAGGGCACGGGCGCAGGGTTATAGTTGGCGGAGGGGGGAGGGCGCTGGGACTTACCTGCACTCCTGAGGCTGCAGTCACTACAGTTGTACCGGCTCCTCTCCTGGACTGAAACGGCTTTCTCTGACATCACTGGGAGCTTCTCACAATGTGTATTAGAAGCTGCAGCAAGTTGGATAGAGTCACCTCATTTCCTGGCTGGAGAACCCCTAGCATTATCTAGCACTTTCCTCCCCAGCCTGACTGTCCCTGGTCCCGCCCCCTTTCATTCATTGGATTTCAGTTCTGTCAATCATGGAGGCTCAGCATCACATGTGGGCGGTCTGACAGCCATCCATCAAGGCAGTGTGATATTTACATAACTCCTCCCACTGCTTGCATCAGGAGTACTGAGGCAGGGTGCTGTGATGGTTTCAGGAAGTGATGTACAGCACCCTGCCGGCCCCTCCCACCAGCCGTGATCTGCCTACATTGTAGAGAGAAGCCCAGAATGATGACACCACTGGGTCTAAAATAAGGAATGTAATGCAAACAGAAAGGTTGTATGTAAAAATGTCATTATCATGGTAATGGAGCGAGGGGGGCAAGGGACCGGGGAAGGCAAAATATTGGCAGATTAAACTTTATTCATAAAAAAAAATGGAAAGCAATCAGCACACATGATGGCGTTCACTGGATTTTATTCAACGTTTAACGATACAAAAGTTCCAGCAGTGGAAGGACGGAGATATGACATGCACCATTTCCTGCGTCCTCTTCATGTCTACACTCACTCCACCTTCAGACTGGATACAGACAGCCTGGAGTTCGCCAGCCCCCCTTCCCTGGAGAACTACAAGTCACTGCATTCCCTCCCATGAAGCCGGCTGCACAATCCCAATCACAGCAGCACATTATGAACATGCATGATGCGCCGCGTTTACTGAGCTCGCGGCTTGTGAACACGGACGTATTCGATGGCAGAAACTCCCAACGACCAATCAGAGCAGAGACGAGAACAATTCACGGGGTCAGCTATATACACCAGGAAAGGTTTAAGTTTCCTGCTTCCGTTCTGTAGATAGTGAGAGTGGCCGGTCAGGGAAACTTGCTGACATTTGTTTTTTTACATGTACTATGTGGGATGTTTAATCACATGATTAGAAAAAAAGTGCGCCCCTGCGTCCCCCGAGACACGCAATCGCCTCATTAAGGTCTGGTTCACACCTTGCCGTATTTCCGCCCGTGGGGATGTCTGATTCCATGAAACAGGCTGGCTGTTATATGACCGCAGGCACGTTCACTGCACCCTCCTGCCATTCCACTATGCCTTCTGGAGGTGTATAAATTACCTGTGGGGTGCATGCGTCCGGCTCCCCTTCCTAACATGATGATGGGGAGCCAATTGCAGGACCTGAACACAGTCACGTGGTGTGGATCCCTAACCCTGTGCAAGCTCTGACCACAGCCAGGAACTTACACGGGGATATTAAGAAGGCTCCAGCAAGGTGGTGATTGGGGGGGCGGGGAGTACACAGAAAGTGGATGGAAGGTTACGCTCATCATCCGAGGGGGTAACATGCTCAGTGGGTCGCCGCATGCC